GCTTAAATACTGTTACATCTAAGTCAAATTATGTGATACATAATAAAGGAACAACACAAAAAAGATGGGGATTTTTTTTTTTTTTTTTTTTTTTTTTTTTTTTTTTGCTTAGATGGGGATTTAGCTCAGTGGTTCCACCGCCTGCCTTGCAAGCGCAAGGACCCAAGTTCAATCCCCGGTACCAAAAAAAAAAAAAAAAACTTTGGTTTAATATACATATATAGCTTATATGGCAATAAATTATAGCAATAAAGGTATTGATAACAAAATAAAAATGAAAAACTCATGATAATTACAGTCTTCAGTTCTGTAGTTGATGAAATGGTCACAATTGCTATTTCTATCTACTTTCTTCTGTTATCCATTCTGTACTCCCTTTGCCTTCAGCAAGGATTTCAGGTGTTCATGGTTGCCTGGTGAGATGATCCCAAAATTCATTGCTGAACAGTCTGGGTCATGTGTAGTTTTCCATCCACTGAATTGTTGTAAGTGTCCACTAACTTAATCAGAGTCATGTACTACTAAGAGATACTCCAAGGGATATTCTGTCTTCCAGCTATACTCTTTCTTGTCTTCATTGTAGAGTAGTAGTCCAATTTCCCATTAAAAATCTGTGTCAGCAACCAACACTGTGATTGCCATTTGACCTGGTAGTTCAGAGGCACGAAGAGCCCAAAGTGACCAAGTGGCACGCTTAAATTCTGATCGAACGGAATGACGATTATGTCCTCTGGTGGAAATATTCTTTGTCTGGAACTAAAACTCTAGGCATTCATTTTGCTGGTGGACCCTCTTGTATTTCTACTCCTTCATTCTTGGCCCTTGAATCTTGGTTTGGAGAACCTATCTCTAGTCCTGCAAGATATTTACGCCTAGCTACCATTGTAATTGAAGTTTTCAAAAAGCTAATTCACTGTCCTCTCTGTCCAGTTACTTCAGGATGATGGGAAACAGGGTAAAAACAGTGGATTCCATGAGCATGGGCCCAGATAGTAAAAATGGAAGTGCTGAGATTAACCCCTGGGGATAGGGAAGGCTAATAAATTATTAGGAACTTGAAACTCCAAATCTATTTAACATGGTCATTAAATTCTGACGATTCTATCATAAAATTTTCTCTCCAACTATTCTTTGTCTCTGTCACCAACACTGTTATTGGAGTATCCATCCTTTTTTTTTTAGCTAATTTGCTCCCATTACAGTAATTATATAAACAACACCCCTCTTTTTTTTTTTTTACCTGTATGGAAACAACACGTTTAAATTTTCCTAAACTTTAAAATTCTTTATATTTTTATATCTTCACAGAATTGGCCCTAGAAAAAAATTTTAATGAATAAGAGGCACATTTGTTATCTTAGGCTGTAATTAATCCAGATTCTCTATGCTGATACTCTGGCTTACATTTCATGCCTACCAAATAACCTTTTCTGGATTTATATATAAAGCTCCTTTAGTGGGGGAAAGAGCTGACCAATAACCTTCCACCTTGGTTTGTATTTCACTCTCTTATGACTTTGGTATGCACTTCCTGAGAGATTTATAAATACCGAGACTGATAGAATTCAGTTTCTGAATCTATAGAAGTAACAACTGCATTTTAGACATGGTAATTTCACCATTCTGCAATAACACTGTGGAAAAATATTCATCATCTAAGGTAGCTTCTCCACATCTGTGCTCAGCAAATGTATGGTTTTGCTTCCAAAAATATTTGGAGGGACTGAAGGCCTTGCCCACAGGACTCTGTAATCCAGAGTACACAAGATAATGCTATGTCAGCACCAATAAATTTGTGGTTCAAGTATTTGTCCACTCAGCAGACAATGATGACTACTAGCCAAGCCCTATCAAAGTCCAGACTCTAGCTGTCCGGTTTCTTTCAGGGACATCCTGTCAGCCAGGAGGTACAACCCTTTTGCAGAGTACGGAAAGAAGAGAAGGAACATGGAGAGGCTCTCTACATCTTCGACTCTAACAAACTAAAACTCTCCAGTTCACCTATGAATAAAGGAGCCCAACTCGGACTCTGTGTGGAGAGAGCAATGGGTGAAGCTCTGCAAGAAACACCATTACTGTGGTGCCCCTGGACTACAACACCATTAGAAATCACCATCTTCTGAGCTGAAATCAAAGGTTATTGCTTTGTTTGTACTGTTGCAGAGATAAGGAAACTATTGTTAATCTAACGGACCCTGTCTATTGAATTTTCATTTTCCTGCTGCCAAACACTTCCTTGGTTCTTTGAGACAGGCTACATAAACCTCTAGTGTACTTCCCAAATACTACAGTAGAGCTTCCCAATGCTGTTGTGTGTCTTGGAACGAGAGCACAACTAAAGTGTCTGGGACTCCTTAAGGTTGTTAAGTGATGTCAGAGCCAGGAGATTCAAGTAAAATGTGTGGAATAAAATGTGAGAATGTGTTTTGTTTGTATCAGAATCTGAACTCAGGACGTTGCACTTGCAAGGCAGGTGGTGGAACCACTGAGCTAAATCCCAGGCCCCTGGAAGAATGTTATCTAGAACATTCAGTGTGGACCTGAGACAATTTGCCTCAAGCTCAGCACTTGAAATACAATTTCTTTTTCCTAATAACACAGTGTGCTTTAAAAGAGGAAACCACTTTATTTCCTTCATGTTTTTCTAATTTTCCTTTACTACTAAGAAATTAAAAATGATATTTTAGGTTATTTGTAATAAAATTCTTAACTCTAATGTTGCGGAACAGTAATTTTCCTCCCTCTCCTTCCCTCTATCTCTCCCTTTTCTGTCTTTTTTCCTTCATGCTCTCCTACTCCCTTTTAATTTGGATCCATTTTGTTAATCCTATGATGATGATTTAGAAGGACGTTTTGTTTTGTTTTGTTTTGTACCGGTTATCAAACTCGGGACCTTGCCCTTGCAAGGCAGGCGGCAAAACCATTGAGCTAAATCCCCAGCCCTGAAGCTTTTTTATTGTAAGTCCTGCATATAACTTTTAGACATATAAAAGTAAAGGTAGATGCTAAAGTATTATTCTTCCTAATTCAGTTTTACCTGGCACAGTATGACTGGTACCCAGATACCAAAGTGAGATGAAGACAATTTCTTTCCCTGCCGTACGCAGAATTGATAAAGGAACAAAAGTCATCTTCTTCCTATTACCCACTTTTTGAAACTTCAGCCAAATCAGGTCTATGAAGTGAGGCCAAACTGGGGAGCACTAGAGAATGATGACAACATTCAAGACAACTGTGGCTGTGCTGTGAGCCGTTACCCACACTCCCTGCAGGAAGGACGGGAAGCAATGGACCTCTCTAAACTCAAGCCTGACAAGGATATTTCAAGGGAAACCCACAGAGAGCTTTGAAATTTATGTCTTGATATCCGGATATACCAAGAATTGGTACCTGGTTCCTACCTGAGAAAAGCTAAAACTGCCAGTGGGCTGGAGTCTGACCTCACTTAAGAAATCTGTCATGAAGAGAAAGGCTAAAAACTCAGTATTGGAGCAGGAGGCTCTTGATACGTTAAAGTGGGCTTCCATGCCTTAGTTTGGAGGCCATACCATGCGTACACGACTCCTGTGATTCGAGACTCACAAGAGAGTCATTATCAGAGGAGTCACAGGTTAACCCTAGACTAGACATGTATCTTTTCAGGTCAAGGAATATACATGTGCCAAGCATCGTTGATAGCTTCTACTCCGGAGGAATTCTCAAATTGCTAACCAATCAGTCCATCATATTCTTACTTCTCTCTCTATTAAAAAAAGTGCCTTCCCCCTAAACAAAACTGCTTCATTGGAATAGAATAAGAAGGCAGGAATTTCACCTCCACGATGCACTTGTATGCTTCATCTAAGGAGTCTGTTTCATCAAGCACCCAAGACTGCCTCAGTTATGTTAACTGCCCTCTTCAGACCTTTAATGCACAGTTCTATATACTGTGCTGGGTCAGCTCTGATGAGGCAAAAAAATAGTCTAAGTCAGTGATGACTTTGATAACAAGCATGGGCAGGGTGGAATAAGTGAGGTGGGTGGAAGTCAGGAACTGTCTAATTCATGAGAAATGAGGGCAGCACTGGTGAAAGCTAATTGTACCCAGCTCTCATTTGCCAAAGCACATGCCAAGAAGTGTTTTTATAGTCAAGGCTTTCTCTGCTGTAGCTGTCTCCTCTGCATCACTACCTAGTCTGAAAACTCAAGGATGAATCAGTTGCAGACCAATTACTAACACATTTTTATTACAGTTTAAAAATACAGACAAGGAAACAGCATACATTGTAAACAAGGGCTGAAATTGTAAGAAAATTTTGTACCAAGAAATTTTTGATATACTTTGCTGTTAGCCCTCCCTCTACCTGTAGTGCAAAAATCTCTGCTTGCCCTTAGAAGCCACTGCTATGTTGGGCTCGGGGTGTGGGTGTAGCAATTTCACTCTCTTAGCCTATCTTTATTGTCACGGAATGAGGCAAGAACAGAGAGGAGTCAAGATAGAAGGAGAGTTTTATAAACAGTGTTTATAAGCCAGCTGTCCAAAAGAAAAGCTCTGATTTGTAGTCTTTGTCATGTTTATTCCAATTTCCACACTGTAAATACTCCCCCCACAGGCAAGATCAGTGATGAATGTATGTAAGAACCAGAGTGCAAAATTTCAGAAAATTTAACAGTTGGCTTATATGAATTAGTTCTGGCCCACTCTAGCATACTGCTGCTTATAATACAGCAAAAATTCAGTGCTACCAAGGTTCTATAAATATATGTGACACAATTTAATTTTCTGAAAAGATATGCAAATATAAAAGTCTGTATCCAAGCTGTGGGGCTACAGCTACTCAGCAGATTTTAATGTAAGAAGAAATAACTTATGATGCCCCAAGCAGTTTTTGTTGTACACGATACAAATATTTTTAAGTTAGCTTTATAATTATATTAGTTAACATAGTTTGACTTTTCAACATCATCTATAAATATTTTTAATTGATTAACAAATGTTACAGACCTTTCAACAAGAACATACAAATACCTAATTTAACTGAGTCAAAAATTTGAATTGTTATTTGCTAGTTTTAGAGGTTAGTACATTTAATTGAGATTGACTTTGCAACGTAAGGAAGGGAATTTTGTTGGAGCAAGTCCTGACCAGCATCCTGGAATAAATAAGATCGCTGGTAAAGGAAAGATCAGTTATAGCTTTGCTTCATCCACCTTGGGCTAAAGAAGAATATATCTCTTAAAGATTGAATTAGCTAGATTTTATAGATGTATAACACAATAGCATAAATACCAATTGTAAAGCTGAGATAGTGTGAATATATAACAGCAGAAAGCCCATTTACTCATTGAGGCAAAATAGCCTATCTACTCCATCTGTGTCTATATTCTCACTGCCAAAATTTTGCCCAAGATACCTGCCCCTCCCTCCATGAAGTTGCCATGTGATATATGGACACACTTTGCAAGCTGAGGAAAGCCTGTTAAAACTATGAAATCGTTAAATAGCATAATACAGCGATACTAACGCCAATTGCTGGTATTAAATTCAATGATTACTTGCGGTGACTCAACTCACCATGGACAATGTTTAGAGACAAACAGTCAAGCTAAAGGTGAAGGTTCAGAATGGTTCCTTTGACCAGATATTTAGTTAAACATCTTGCAACCTGGGTGTGATGAAACCGGGGGAAATTCCCAGGAAATTCTACTTCCCAGGACATTGTACTTCATACTCTCTTCACTTCTGTCCAGATAGTTCTCAAAGAGTTTTCTATCCCCTCACAACACCTAAAGTAAGATATTGTTGGCATATTTGTGGCCACCTCACCAGTATGACTGTATTAAGAGGGTCTCAGAAGATGGAAGATGAGGGCATGGAAATATACAGTAAAGCTGCTTACAAAAATGAGAATAAGGCCAGGCTACTGCCCTCGATTCTTTTGCAAAGTAAGGTGCCCGTGGAAATAAAAATACTTCATTTTTCCACCCAGGGATCCAAAGTTTAGACAAAGAATCATTGAAGATTTTCTGTCCTCTTCCACCCCCACTCATTTTATCTTAAATTACTAAAGCATCGTTACAGACCCAACCTCAGGTAACCAAATTCCTTTGGCTATTTCTTTGAGTCTCTTTCTAGAAAGCCTGAGGCAAAAATCTCACATGCAGAGGAATTCTGTGTGTGCTGATGTGTACACCCAGACAAAGTATAAGCACTGTCAATCTGCCCCTCTCCAACTCTTCATGAACACCTCTGCATATGCTGAAGAGAATGAAGAGACCAAATCAAATCCTTAGGAGATGAATTGAATATTTGGTATTAACAAGATCCCCCAGTATGTGTTATTTTTTAGAACCTGGTCTTCACTGTTGAATGTCAAGTCAATTGTGTCTCCAACGTGCAAGTCATAAATCCCCCCTAAAGTCTGGATTTGAGAGTTGTTTGTCAGAATCTGTATGGGTTCTTCGTTTTTACGTAGCCACACTTCAAAAGGAGCTGCTCCCTTGTAGGTTCTATCAAAAGCTACTTGGCCATAAGTTAAGTACAAGCCATTCTGAAGTATCCTCAGCTCCCAATCAGATATTTTATTCATGCAGGGAGGTTCAGGAGATGTCATTTTCCATTTTGAGGGTAGAGGTCCTATAAGAAATTTACAGGGGAGAAAAGTGCAAAACATATTTATTATTTCATCCTTTTCCGGATGGTAGCTCTGCTTTACCACTTGCCTGGTTTATACTATTTTTTCTTAGCCACAATTCTAATATTTTAAGTATCTATCCTTGTTTTAGACAGGTTGCAAGTCCTAAGTGTGTCTCTTGCTAAGGACAGTGCTAAGGGGGATAAATTGAGAATTGAAAAATTAGTTAAATGGATCTGCATCTCTTGTAAACTAATATTTGTAGGAAGAAGTGCAAAGGGAGAGAGGAATTATACACCAGGATTTTAACAATTAGAGTTGGCAATCAATGTTTTTCCATGCTTTATTTGCTGTGTGTCCGGGTGACGCCTTCCCTAGCAATCAAAATAGAATAGTAACTCCCTTCACCTTACTTTAATTTTCTTTATAGGAGGGGTTGGCATTTAGCATATTGTAAAGTGTTTATTTGTTTCTATATTAAATTCAGTTGAATACAACATCTTTGAGAGCATCTGTTATGGCTTGTGTCTGGAAGTTCCCCCAAAGCCTCATGCAGTCAGAGGTGGGCTTTTTCAGAGGTGGCTGGGTCTACAGTATGTGACTCTGGGATAGATTCGTGGTACAATACTAGGCTCAAGGGCACTAGGATTAAAGATGTGAGTGCTACCTGCCCTAAGTAGCCTGGATAAGATATAAGGGATAGATAGAAAGAGTGGTGGTCATCCCTTGCTTGCTTTGTTATCTTCTACCCAGAACGGTTTCTCCTCTGCAATACCACCCTGACTTGGAGATAACCAATTATGGACTGAAATCTTTACAAACTGTGAACTAAATAAACCTTTCACCCTTTAACCTTGGGTGTCAGGTATTTTGCCTCAGCAATGAGAGAAAAGTAATTAAGACAACATCTGTAGTTTGCTTATTGCTGTATTTTAAGCACCCAAAAGTTTCTTGCACCTCCCATGTGCTCAGTAAAGTTGTTTCTTTAAGATGGGGGGAGGGGCTCGCTCTGTTGGCCTGGGTGGATTGGAATTAGCTCACTAATTCAAGTGATTCTCTATCCCAATCCTAACCATTTTTTCTGGACTGAATGATAATCTCCGTGTTCCTGAATTAAGTGCTTTGTGTCTAAATTATGGGCTTTCTTATCAGTTTGTAGGCATATGTCATTCAGAACTCACTTCAGGTGTCATTATCCAAACTTCCCAAAATAGATACTGATCAATTCATGAGTTTATGGATGGATATTATTTGACTACTATATATAATTATCCCTTATTTAATACTGTCATGAAGGGTCAAGAAAGGTGCCAGACCTAGTCATACATTTCCATAGGTACATATGACATTTAAATATTTGCCTAATGTTAACTGGTTTTGCAGAGCTTCATGACTTCAAGGCCCCTAGGTCTGTTTTTGCCACCCAAATTATTTATCTGGCTTGTTCACTAATTCTTCATAGTTTTGGCTGTAGGGGGCAAAGCCCTAGAAGTAACACTGCAACTCAAAGTTTCATTCATATATAAATAACTAATATAAAACTTGGAAAGTAGTTTCTGAGGGGACTGAAGGCGAGATCAATAGAGCAAGAAACAAGCCTCCCTATATCTCCAGTAAGCCCAGTACCCAGTAAATTGCTTCCTCCTTGACATATCATGGGCAAATCACCAGGAAAGACTATGAAAGTTTCTCCTATTTAATTCAGCGATGAAGTCACTTAAAGACAGCTCATCAACTCAGGTTCTCAATTTTTACTACATCAGTGAGGAATTATAAGCATACCATGAGTTCCATTCCTTTCACTGAAAAGAAAAATGAAATACAGGCAAGGATAAATAAAACAATTTCTTAATTCCCCACAAGCCATGGAAACCCAACAATTTGAATTATATAGGAACGCAGTGGCTGCAGAGTTAGTAGTTAATTCTAATATTCTGATCTCAGTTGATAGTGTGTACTTGTTTGTCTGGAAACCTATAAACAACCAAAATGTATTTACTTGGAGTATTGCATGTATGGTAAGAAATATTCTAACTCTCAGGATAGCTGTAAACCGTAATGTATTTTTACATGTTGAGTGACTGTAAGAGAAAATGGCTCAGAAACTAATAGAAGAAGAAGAGGAGAAAAGAGCAGAGGAAGTGACCATTCCTAACTCTCATTTCCCTTCCTACACATTTACCAATAGCAATGTTAGCAATGTTGTTTTCTTTGCTGCACCACACGTATTCTACTGGACATGGGTGATATGTGATGTGTACTTTGTAGAAATTTGAAATTTGTTCTTAGTAAAACACAGAAATTGATTCGGGTATCTCCAGCTCGCAAGCCTTTTAATGTACTGAGTTTTTCTTGCCCAGAGATATGGTCTGATAGGAGCTTCCTCAAGGCACTGGTTTGTTGCTCTGGTTCACCTTCATAAAGCTTCAGCTCCTACACTTCTGCCCATCAAATGATAAATAATTACAAATAGTAGCTGAAAGACAAGCAAAGAGTGAATGAATATAGGCCTTCTTGGTAGTACTGGCACCTTCCTTCTTGTATCAGAAACTAAGAAAAGCAAACACAATACATGACGGTAGGGTACTCACCAAATTTAGCCATACAGGACTCTTTAGCCGTCTGCTGTGGAAGAAAAAGAATTTGGTCAGCATGGTGCCAGAGTTGCTACTGTCTTGATTCAATTATCTGCAGCCTCATATTCCTGAATCAAACTACTTTTCCATAGCTCTAAAGAAAGAAAACACCCTCTCCACCATGTATTCCTCTCTCATCTTCCCTTTGCAAGTGGCTGACTGCTTTTCATTGTGTAGCTGTCCTTTTGGTTCTTTTTGCAAAGTTTGGTTCTCATTACATCCATCTACCCTCTACCCACAGGACAAACGTTGGATCTTGGTCCTCTCCCTCTTGGCTATGGAAAATTTCTATCAACAGCAGTCACCACACCCTAACGATCCACGGGGTGATCTATTGGTGTATGGGAAGAAAATAATGGAGGTTCTGTTTATGTTTGTCTTTATTTAAAATAATAAGAAACCAAGCTCTATAAGTATTTGTGACTCAGGTTGATGAAGCCATCCTTACTTAATATTCAGGTAATCACATGTCAAATATGTAACTCAAATACCCTCAGATCTAATAGTTTCAAAGTGCTGCAAAACACTACAATTTACATGATGAGAGATGCTATCAATTGTGCTTAATTTTACTAATACAAGTATTTCAATTCTAAAAGCTCTGAGTAAGTTTTGAGTAAGTTTTGAGTAAGATAAGGCATAACCACAGAAAATGTTTGCACTCTAAATTCATTGGTTTCTTTATGAATAAAAGACTTTAAACTCAAAGATTTTCATATTTTAAAGATTTCTCTGGCTGCTGTGCTAGGCATAAAGTAAGGGAGGCAATGGCAAAGCAGGGAGACAAAATACAAGATTGTTGTATTCATCCGGGCAAAGGAACATGATACCTCTGATCAAGGTGCTAGCAGTGGAGATGTTGATAAGTATTTGGATGACCGGGCCTTCCGCAGTTCCCAACATGACTATGGGTGAGAGAATGAGATGCAAAGAAGAAGACCCCAAGATGGTGTGCTTGAGTGATGAGAAAGAGAAAGTTGTAAATCACTGAATTGGAAAGATGTAACAGGAATAAATTGGGAAGGGAACAATGAGTTTGGTTTTAGAAACATTGTGATGCTTAAAATATCCAAATAAGAGCGTCAAATATGCAGTTAAATATATGAGGCTGGAATTTAGGGAGATCTGTGATATAAATTTAGCCAGTTGCAGGTTGTTGCTTTAAGTCATGACATCATAGGAGACCGTGAAGTGAGGGAGTAGAGGCAGAGATGAATACTGGGGTACTGCAACGCTTAGATGAGAGTGAATAGGGTGGAACTGAAAAAGGAAACTAAGAGGGAAAGACCAGTGCGTTTGAAAGGAGTTAGGAGAGTGTGGTATTTGGAAACCAAAGGCAGAAAGTATTTTGGGAAGAGGAATGATCTGCTGGGGTGAAATGCTGCTGAAAAATTAACAAAGAAAAGAACCATAAATTGGTTGGTGGATTTAACAATGTGGTTGCCACTGGCGTTCCTGACAGAAGTAGTTTCTATGATGTGATAATGAGGGCAGAAGTATACTTAGAATGCATTTCAGGCCAAATGGAAAAAGAGAAACTGAAAGAGTTTTGCTTTAGGAAAAGTAGAAAACTTGAATGGAACTTGGTTTTGGGTGAGAGGTCCAAGGGGTGGTTTTGGGCTTTGGCTTTGGTTTAGTTTCTTTTTAATATAAGAGAAGTAGCAGGAATATTGCAAAGAAATGAGGGAGGAGTGATATGTAAGAGCTGGGGCAGAATGGTAGGAACAATATCCTTGAGTAGATGAAAGAGGATGGGGTCTTTCATCTACTCAAGGGCTGCTGTGGTAGGTGATTGGCGACTTCACATACACAGGCAAGAGAGAACACACATAGGCGGACACAGACTCGGGCGGGTGGTGGATATGGGGACTCTGGGTCTTTTTTTCCTCCCTGCTTCTGTTTCTCTCTGGGTACCTGAAGGCAGAGCTATCAGTTGAGAGTGAGAACAGGGAAGAAATACTGGATGTTTGAAGAGCAGCCAAAAGTATGAACTATTCCGATGGAGGAGAATGAAGGGATTAGGAAATATAGGCTGCTGCCAGAGCAACACTGAAGGTCCTGCTTGAAGTTTGGGATCATAAATTTAATGTTAATGCTTTTCAGAAAGATCTTGCATGTTTTGGGTTGGGGATTTAGCTCAGCGGTTCGGTGGCCTGCCCTGCAAGCGCAAGGACCTGAGTTCGATCCCCCGTACCAAAAAAAAAAAAAAAAAGAAAAGGATCCTGCATGGAACAGTTGGATTTAATCCATGTTAGAAGTTTTCTATGGTTGGGATTTTGCCATTAGCGTATATTGAAGAGAAAAATAAGTAAACATGAAGTTTATGTAAGAGAAAGGTTATAATTACAGACTGGAATTTCATTATATAAGGAGGGAAAGGCACACATAGAGTGAGGGATGTTTTTATTTTAACTAAAAACTCTTCACGTCAACGGATGACGGGTTGAAAATTGAGTGTCATTATATTTTCCAAATATAAAAGGATACATTCTATCTTTTGATCTATATCTCTTTGTGAAGCAATTATTTAGTTATAGTAAAAAACAAAGTAAATAAACAGCATATAGACTTCACATTGCTGTATCACAAAATGTTAAACTAAGAAAGTAAAATTAGAACATTTATCAAATTACTAAAACATTTCAATTATTTTAGCATTTTTATTTTATGCATTAATATATTATAAAATATAGAACATCTTGCTAAAAACAATGGCTTTATGCTGAAAAAAGTATGTTAAAGATTATTTGGCTTATCCTTATGAATTTTCATTTTAGGTACAATATATACAGTGTGTACAGTATACAGTATGTTGTGCTCAGTGTTAGTACTCATATATAACATAATAATTAACATACCTACATTGGAAATTATAATGAAAATATTTTATTTATAAGTAGGTACAGTTTTAAAAGCCTGGAAGCCACAATTTTAAGGAAAAAAAAAACCTGCCATTGATTTTGCTCTTGCAATTATTTCGTTTTTGTTTTAAAGTTCTTAGAAGAGATGTTGAAATTCATTTTAGTTCAATCCTCATGTAAGGCAACTCTTTTTTTCCCCTTGGGCTTAGAATAAAACCTAGGAACTTGCATATGCTAGACAAGCATTCCAAAGACCTAAACATACTCCCTTACCCCCATTTCCTCATCTATAAAATGAGAGAAATAATAGTACAAAGTTCTCATGGAAGCTAGTGGGTGTTAATGAGATTATTCTTGCTGCAAAGGACCATCTCAGATATCCTGACTGAACCTGTTTAATGAATATTAGCTTAATGTTTTGATAAGGATGCTAATTATAATGAACAATTGAACTTATATAACATGATACTAGCATTGTAAGCAAGAAAGAAAAATTTAATGTGTGACTGTTGCTTCTCAAGAAATTAAAAATCTTTTTAAAAGACATGATTACATACATGAAGCAATTAGGTAATAATTTAAATATGAATGAATGCCAAAATATATGTCAGAGATCTTATGCCAGCTACTATCGGATATAAAGAGCTCACAGAGAGATCAAAGGTCATAGGCAAATTAATTGCCAGAACCAGAAATTCCAGATACTGTATTAAAGGCTGCTTCAATGTCTGTTTAGAGCAATGGTGATGTCCTACAATTATTGCCATAAGGGAAAATCTGAAAAATCATCAATTTGACCGAGGAATATGATCACTGATTGAGAAGGAATATAGATTGGCAATGAAAATCCATAGTTACAAAGTCACATTGAATTTGTATTCCTTGTAATCTCATTAATAGTAATGGCACAAATATTAGTTATTACCGTCTACTGAAAGCCTGCCAAGGGTGCAGTGAGTCAGGCACTGTATTGCCTCATTAGTCCTTAAAACAACTCTGTAAGAATTAGCATGCTCATTTGAAGATGAGGAAACAAGGATAAGAAGGAGTAAGTATCTAGCCCAAGTTATGCAGCTGATAAAAGCCAAGGTTGAGGTCCAAATCCAGCCTGTCTTATTCAAAACTCCTACCTTTGCCACAGTACAGCAGTTTCTATTTATAATTCTGGTGACTACTTGAAGGAATAAATACTCACTTTTAAAGAAACATATTGGACTTTCAGCTTAGTTTATATTAGTTTAGTTTAGTTTACAAAGAACAGTTGGTCTTGTAACCTCGCTTTGGTTTAAGCCTTTGGCCACCTGACTTTGGCATCATAGTTGGGCTCAAAATGGCCAAAATTTAATAATTCTTTCTTCAAACCAACCTTAGATCACCATTAGAAATAAAATTTCTCTGCTTTTAAGTGCCAGTAAAACTTCCTCTTCTGAAAGCATCCTTCACATCACTGAATGTTCAGGAGACTTTCCTGAACATTCAGGTGCTAAGATACAGCTCCTGTAAAGCTATTCTCACTTAGGGACTGACCAAACTCCTTGAGCCCAAAGCCTGTCTTATTAGTTAAATGTCTTCTGGAGGAGGAAAAAAATATATTTTCGATGTAACACTTTTTTTTTTTTTTTACCAAAGATCGAACTCGGGTCCTTGAGCCTGCAAGGCAGGTGGCAGAACCCCTGAGCTAAATCCCCAACCCAATGTAACACTTTTTTTTTTTTTGTACCAAGGATCGAACTCGGGTCCTTGAGCCTGCAAGGCAGGTGGCAGAACCACTGAGCTAAATCCCCAACCCAATGTAACACTTTTTAAATTGGTGTCTAGAGCATCTAGAAAGTCAGGCTTTGTAAGTAGAAACTAGAGTGGAGAACAAAATGAAACAAAACTTCCAAGTTTGTGAGTATCTTGAGAAGGTGGAAGTGACTACTTCATAATGAATCACCATCCGCCAACCACTCAAATCTTTTTTCGGAAGATATCTATTTGTGGCCAACAGGGAAAGGGAAGTACAGGCCAGTGCTCATGGACAACAGGTGCTAACATCATTGCATTGCCAGCCAGGCCATTGGTTTTTCCACAGGAACTAATCCCCCAAGCATCCTGTCAGGAAAACAGCAAAATACCTTTTACATCTCCCCGCAATTTGGCACAAACTCTGGGCTGTCTTTAGAGGCAGAACCTTTCGTTAAAAAGCTGCAAGAATCCAGAATCAATGTTCCAAATGTGGGTTAACCAAGTTCAATTCTGGCAAAGAGGTATACTCTGAGAGCTTTTCCTCCTCATCTAGTCACATGGAGGAGCTAATGATACCTGTACTCTTCAGAGCCGTCTGGGGCTTCCCAAAAAGACTTGCAATTCCTCCTTCGTCCATGAAGCCTTCCTAGATCACTCTAGCCCAAAATCACTGTGCCCACTTTTGAATCCCTAAATATTATATTCTATACCACTCTAAAGTAAATTATCGATCCCTGTATTTTAGAGCTAGCAAGCACCTTATAATAAACAAGCCCATTCCCCTACCACCATGTTTCAGATGAAAAAGCTGAAAGCCAGAAGATTGAATAGCTTTCTCAGACTTAATACAGCTGGTTACTGGGAGACTTAGAACTCAAATCCAGATCTTGTTACTCCTAGTCCAGTGCCACTTCCCTGCAAAGATACACTAGCCACCTGACCACTGACTGATTTAATCAAGTGATTTTTCTCCAGTTAGCTCAGTTCTGCAGCTAGTATTTCACATTTTCCAATATCCTTTGTCTCAGGCTATATCCTTTAAATAGCTTCAAAAGTTACGCCATGACAACAACAAAATTATATTTACATCATCTGTACTCACAGATCTCTTCCATCCAATAATCTCAAACAACACTGAGTAGCAATGATAATAATCAGACCAACAAGTAAAAGATCTTAATAAATAGCAGCCTTAGGTTTTGTGGCCTCCTTACCTTAAATGGGAAGAAAGTAAGAATTAGTGTAGCAAAGAAGCAAAACAAAAGAACTATTGCTGAGCACAACCATGGCTTCCAGGATGATCTCTGTGCATCTTGAGAACTTGAGTGGCGTAGAGACATAGTTTCCACGTGGCTCAAGCTCATTTTCTCTGAAGGAGTAACAGTGGCTGACATCAGATGCTCAAGTGATGGGTGCACGATGCAATGTCATGTTTTGTAGTTAAGGCTATGGTAATTAGTAGTGGGTGTGGGAGGTGGAGTTTTTCCTTCTGACAGTGTTGGAAAGCGATACTTGTAGGCTAAGTGCTGACTCGCACACGGCACCAGGCCAAATTTCAAAAGGAATGGAAAGCATAGAGCCAACACAAACACACAGGAGGAAAAAAATCCACCACTACAAGGGAAGTTCAGAGGGAAAAAAAGTGCTTTCCTAAAAATAGAGGAAGTAGAGAACGGTTGTACAGTAAGCCACAGGGAGAGTAAGACAGCCGATGCTCATCTTTGAATTATTTTCAATAAGAAAATTATTTTTCTACACAGAGCTAGTTTGGAATGAAGCCTTGCAGCATTGCAGAAGTTATGCCCATGTCAGGCAGTGTTGAGGAGCTGGAGAAGCTAGGACCCGTGGTCTCCAAGATAGTGCTAGTGAAGCCATGCCATTGTGCACCTTATCTGTACACGACTTTTGTTTGTCGAGTGTACCTCAGTAAAGGTGGAGCCAGGAATGGTGGGACGCACCTGTAATCCCAGCATTCGAGCAGCTGAGCCAGGAGGATCGTCCTGAGTTCAAGGCCAGCCTGGGCTACATAGTGAGACCCCCGTCCCAAAAAACCAACCAAACAAAAAAGCCCCAGCAACAATAAAGTTGAAAAAACCAAATCAAATTCTCTGATTAAAAAAAAAAAACAACTTCATCAATTAAAGTGCATTTATTCTGAGACAGTATCTAGAAAAAAAAAGAAAACACATTACTAGGGTTTAATAAAAATTTACAAATACAACAAGCTCGATTTTCTTATATTTTACCTTTTAAATTCTGAAGCACTAATGTGACATCAAATAGAATTAAAGTTATCATAAAAGGCTACTTTTCAGCCCCACCCCCAGCCTGAGCTTACACTCCATTGCATAAAAACATGGGTTTTGGTTCCTGACTTCCAAAGTGCTGATTTACTGTAAAATTAAGGAAGTCCTCCAGTTCTCAATACCTCAGTCTCCTTGCGTTAAAGTTGAATACCTACCTTTTTCTTTTTTTTTTTTAATAGATTTCCAGGATTGCATGCTAGGAAGAGCCTGGGTTTTTAAATCAAACAGACCTGAGAGCAATGTCTAGTCTACCCAGCCCTTACCTACTGTGTGGCTGCAGGCAAGCTACTTGACTTCTCTGAGCCTCAATTTTCTTAAGAGTAAAGTGGAGAAAATTTCTACCAAGTAAATGTGGAAGGATATATTGTAAGAGATGAGCCATAAGAATTTGTTAGTTTAAGCTTCCTCCAGTCTCTTTAGAACTGTGGTAAAGGTGAATTCAATTAGGAAATCCTACAAAAGAACAAACATTCATTGTATTTCCTGCAGAAAATAAGTCAACCAGAGTTCACTTAAGTAAAAGGAGGTAAACACAAATGTTGTGGAGAAAAATTTTTAATCTAAGAAAGAAACAACAATTTCTAAACTTAGAATAAAAGAGAGATTGAACATCCTCATTTGTGAAAGAGGAAGCTCAGGATAAAAGTGACAGGGTGGCTGGTCAATGATGGAGTGGAAAATCTAAGCCCAGGGAAACTACTTTTTAATTCAACTACCCTGTTTTAGTATGAATCTATTTACAGGAATATTTCTCACTTGAGTATCATAATTTTAGCTTCACTGTATTTTCTCTTGACCACTAAACTATCCCTGAAGTGATAACCACACAAAAAGCATTTCCCAGTACGACGCATATCTTTATAGCTCTGTACCACATGCTGTGAGTCAAGGCTGAAGAACAAACTACCTCTACAAGAATGATGCCTTGATCCTTTAAATCTTGTGCTTGCATTATGTCTAGAATTCCTACATACAAATGTCGAATTTTAAATTGGCCCTTGAAAAGTTGAGACATTTTCTTTTTGCTCTTCTGATTTGCTATTTCCTGTCTCTCCAAGTTTTAGACAGAGCTGCTCCTGCTTACTCACTCCCATAAATATTTGGAGAAACCGTCCCAGATGACACCAGGTTTTCTTTCCGCCCTTAACCAGGATTGGCTCTGATATAGCTTACCTAATTACGTTAACTTTCTGACAGTATCTGAAGAAAGATGATACACTTATCTCAAGAAAACTACATTTCAGGGCCAGTTTTCATTAATCAAGACCCAGAAACGGAGAAACTTCCAGTTGAGACAGGTGAGAGTAGGGAAGATTTTTCTTAAATGCTAAGAGCATGAGTCATAATTGGCACCTTTCAGTGTGAGCTATGAGAATTGCACATATCTCAGGGTTTTACAAGAGGTGAATACGAACCAAACTTGAACTTCTGTATTTATGACCTGCCCTGGATATTTGGGAATTATATTTTTAAAAGTTAAGTCCAACTAGAAAATGTATTCTAAATATTTATTGTCCGACCGCTATTGTGCTGGGAGCTTGGGGAGTGTTCAAAAATTAGAGCTGTCAAGGAATTGGTCATCCCAGTCTATTGAAGCCTGGTACACAGGGAGACAGATACCCAAATGAGTACAACATGCAGAGTAGTGCTTCAGAAAACAGAAAGGCAAGAGAAGCTGAAATAATCAGAAGGACAGGTTAGAAATGGATTTTGGGGGCAGGTGAAAAAAAAGAGGATGCTATTTCTTGAAGGAGTAATAAAACAGGTAATAAAATTTAAGAAATAAACATTCAGAGGTAGAAATCCCTGTAAGTGTTAGAAAACGAAATAAGAATGTAACCCACAGTTCTTTGTGGTACAAGGATGGATCCCAGAACCTTGTGCATACTAGAAAAGCGCTCTGCCCCTGAACTATATTCCTAGACTAGTAATTTTCATTCAAGAATGAAAAATGAGGGATTTCAGAAAAACTAGTAAAAGAAATGCTATATTATTATTTTGAAAGGATCCAAGATATGCTCGATTAAGCAAAGTCTAACTATAAAAATGGCTGCTTTGAATTTAGAGTGAGTTAGTTTTGTAGTAACTTGACCTGTTCAGTTATTCATTAAATTATACTGAAGCTCACAAGGGACCTATGTGCCATCGCTGTGTACAAACATTACATTTGAACATCAAGCTACCATGTATTGACATTTCCCTCTATGCACGCCTGTAATCCCAGCATTTGGAAGGCTGAGGCTGGATCATTGTTAGTTTGAGGCCAGCCTGACCTACATAGCGAGACCCTGCTTACTCACTTACTCTAAATAAATAAATAAATAAATAAATAAATAAATAAATAAATAAATAAATACATAAATAACTGTTCCTCAGGAGGTTGAATCATTTGTCCATAGAGGATTTATTTTTGTTTGGCTGGTTGGTTGGTTTTGTTGTTGTTGTTTTGGTATCAGGGATCAAACTCCAGCCCTTGCAGCCTACAAGGCAGGCAGCAGCACCACTAAGCTAAATCCCTAGACCCCTTATCCATGGAGGAAGAAGAGGGATGGACTCCTCTTCTTTTAGACCTTCAAACTCTTCACGCTCCAAAATATCATGTAGATCCTATCTGGAGCAAACAGAGTGGGAAATATTTTAAATTCTGGGAGAGAACATTAGAGAGGTATCAGTTTCCTCTGAAATCCTGCATTAATCTGTCTGCACTCCTTGCCATGTTTCCCTTATACAATTGTTTATCATGACTTTATTCTTGTAATAGTGTTCAGTGTCCCAAGCTCAGTCAAAATATCCAATGTGGGGGCTGGGGATTTAGTTCAGTGGTTCCACCACCTGCCTTGCAAACAAAAGGACCTGAGTTCAATCCCCGGTACCAAATTAATCAATCAATCAATCAATCCAATGTGTTAGAATTGGATGAGGAATGATACGTGTCATTTTGCTTACCCTGGATATCACAAAGTATTCACTGTCATGACAAATAAGACTCTTTTGGTTTGAAGACATATAGGTAGATAGATATAGTAAAATAGATGAGAGCAAAGAGAGAGAAAGCAAACATGATAACACAAGTAGGGTTTTAATCTTGGGATTTTATGAAAGCAACAGCAGTATCTGTTACAATTACTAAATATCTACACTGCAAAAATTCCTTATAGCTCACTATACAGAAGTAATCATATGTGTGTGTATATAGAGAGATATGTATATGTCTGTATATGCATATATACATAAGTATGTGTATATAATATGTACAGTAAATTCTAAAAGATATAATGGAACTTCTCATATCAATCGCCAGATTATCCTCTCTAAAGAACTTGTAACAACCATAACCAGGGTGGTCTGGGAATTATTTTTAATTCGCACTATGTTTTGATTTCACAACATAGAGACCTTCTTCTGTGCCTCATTTGGCTCGCTTTGTATTGTCAGATTTTGCACATCAAGTGTTCTGTGAACTCTTAGCAAATTATTTATTGTTTGTTTGTGTTTTACGAGCTCAAGTACAGCCTTTAAATAGCAAGTCTACTGCCAGCTTCCGTGGAAGCATTTCTGTGCTAGGTGTCTGTCTTACTACTAATCTTTTAGAAAGGCTGTGGGGTGTTGTAGGTACCTGTCTCTCCAGCCTGAGTCCTCTGGATTAGGGCATACATAGTGTTTTGGGAAGTTTGTGAGTATGTGTGTTCTAGAAGCATTGAGCAGTATCGTGGCCATAGGAGGAGCATCTTAATACCTTTTGATGAGAAATATGAGTTCCTAGTTGGAATCTCTACTGAAAATGGGTTTTTCATTGTGCAATAGGCATGACAACTACCTATTGGAAACCATCAAATATCACCTTAGAAGCTGTGATGAATAGGCACTGCTGTTAAATCTTGTCCAATTTCACACAGATGTCCAGAGAATTGTGTATTTTACCTATCAACCAAGTTTAAATACATAGGCCTTAAGACTCCTGAGGCAAACTAGTCCCCCCAGCTTTCCTGGATTTCCTTACACGGTTCTTGAAAAGTGAGCTTGGGAGAAGTATTTTCTTTCCACTTCTTTGTTTAGTTTCCCAATTTGGCAAAAATCTTAGAATT